ACTGCTGGAACTGTTACCCAGAAAGTTCCAGGGGCTGAACGTAGCGTTTGCTCACTGCAGAAGCTCTGTTTTGCACTGGCAAAGGCTCGCAGTAGAGGCTCATATTTATACTCATAACTACTCATTTTCCTGCTCATACTCATGTTAAGACTAACAAGAATGGCACTACTTCGTAACCATGATTGGCCGCCAGAGTGTAGATAGATCAATCAAGGGGGGGGTCATTTATTAATGCCAAGTGGACATTAGATGCCAGCTTGCAGAAGTATACCGGCATGGTGTTCGATCAGAAGCTGTCAGGCAGCTTGAACTGTTGTCAGGCAGCTTGTAGCCTCTATGTACACCGTTGCAGAAGAATGGAGCTTTGAGCTTTCGCTGCTCTTGCTTTCAAGTCTTGGTCGAGGAGTGTGTTGAGATCTTGCCGATGAATTCGCGCGCAGCATCTCTTTCGCACCCATCCTTCAGGTGCCAAAACATGTCTTAGAGTGTTTCAGCCTGGAAAATGACCTTGTGGGCCTTTAGTGAGAGAAGCTTGCAGGCCTGCAGACTTTTATGATGCTCCTGGCCAGCAGCGAGGGTTGGGTGCAACCTCTGAGAAGAGCTCTGCGGCTCGTTGCTGTGCAATCCTCAGGTGGCGCCAGTGACGGAACACGACGTGGTCGGGGTATCGTTGGCTTTGAACTTGGAGAGGTGGTCTTTCTGCGAGAGACCCGGACACTGCGTTTGCCGAGCGGACCTTGTGGGCTTTGAGAAGGAGGACGTCATAGATCTTCGGATCTTTGTGGAGCATGCTGCTCGGCTGCAAGTGGCGAAATGCGGCGCATGTAAGAAGCTTGCCATGAGGTTGCGGCAAGACTCTTCATTTTCGCAGGGTTCAAGATCCACGCGTTCGATCTCACGTCGCTGGCGAAATTATATGTCGCAACCTTACTTGCATCATCTTATGCTTGGGGCGGTGACCATTGCTTAGGTTGTGTCTTCCTTCACCTGGAGCAGGTGCGGCATAGTCATAGGGAAGCGACAAGTTTTTCAGCTCCCTTCAGCGCACTCCCAACTGTACCAAGCACAACCACTGCCTCCTGGGTTCTTCCAGCTAATATAGCGTGGTGCATTACGGTTCCTGTGGCAGGTGCTGGCAGGCCTGTTACGCAGAGCTGTTCCGAAGTTCAAGTCAACTGAAACTGCCACGTGGGGTCGTCTTTCCTTTGCGAGCTCGAAGTCAGACAGGAACTGCCCAGCCCTTATGTCAGACGCAAATTTGAATTGCACCTTCCTGGGAAACCTGCACCATGCAAGTGAACAACTCGAACTTGAAGTGGAATTCCCTGTTTCAAATCTCGAAGAGTTGAAATGAGAACTTCCCTGTCTCCACACCCGCAACCAAACGGACTTCTGTTTCGCACTCGAATGCCCGTGCTTTTCTAATCCCTGTGACCTCCAACTCGAAGCGGGACTAGGATGCCCTCCCACAAAAACCGACCATTCCGCTCGCTGAAAAGGCCCCTTTCATGCGAATTCAAAATGGAACTCGGATCCTGAACTCGATCTGGAGACTTCAAAGCGCGCCCCCGACTACACACACTGCTAGGCCCCACACTGCCAGGCCCCAAATGCGTCTGGCAACCTCCTGCCAACCAACGCTTTGCACCGAACCTGAATTCGAAGTGACAAACAACCCCACCAAGAAACAGTTCCCTCGCTCTCGCTCTCTCTCTCTCTATCTCTCTCTCTCTCTCTCTCTCTCTGTCTTCCTCTCGAAGCTGGACTCCAACTGGCTACTTGTAGCAACCGTCCGAGGCAAGAAAGCTTGCAAGTACTGAGCTGGAAGCCCTTTGCTCCTTACGCTTCTGTTGCAATACCGAACTCGACTTCGAAGCGAACCTTCCCAGCCTTCGTCTTGCTACCTGTGCTGGAGCTCGTTCAATGTTTCTACCCCGTCTACCCCGTTCGCACGGTGCAAGAAAGCTGAACTGCAAAACCTAAACCCGGAAGTGACAACCCCGGACCTCACAGCCGACGAAACCAAGAATCAACGAAAACTAGCCATCTGCTTCAAATCTGAAACATCTAAAAATCCGAACATGCAAAAGAACCCTTCAAGCCTGTAGCTCTCAAGCCTGGCTTTCTGATCTGCAAAGAGTCTTACGAAAGGCTGGCAAAGCTGGAACCATGAAAAGTTGACGATGAGACTATCCATCCATACAGAAGTCCTCGGCTGTCCTGAGTAGAATCTTTCGCAGTTGCGAAGCATATAGAGTGCTGCATGAGCTAAATTCCACAATCTGCACATGCGGCCTCTGAATTTGGGTGACATCTGTCTCAGAAGCGCCAGGCATCAAGAGCAACTCCTTGCGCGATGGGACTACGGCGAAGCCTTTTTAGCCTATCAAGTTGAAGGACATGGGCCTCTTGAGATTGTGCAATGATTCGATACACACTGCTGGCGCATGTAGTTAGTGAAAGCCTGGATAGACTTATTCAGACATGACCTCGGCAAGAGTTGTACAAGCTCAGCATCTGTTGGAGAGGACGAGAGGTCTGTATCTGGTCCACGGCAGATGGAACTGGATTGGGCAAGATCACATCCCAGTTTGAACTCTTATGCTGTGATATTTCGAGCTTTACCAATGCCCGGGTGAGCCAGAAGATAGTGGCTACCCTTGAGACAGACGGAGGTGTTCGGGTTTTTGCTAGAGCAAGTACTGATTGGCAACTCATTGCGGAGGTGCTGTCCGTGTCCTTGGTGGTCGAAGTTAAGCTGGAAAGACAGGTCCTTGTGGCAGTAAGCCATTCAGAGGATGGCAAAGGTACTGTGCACGTTTGGAAGGTTTGTCCCAAAGTGTTGAAGCTGCTAGATTACTGCCATCGCAACTTCAGGGAGCCTCCAGACAGAGTTGAAGTTAGGCATGGAGGAAGGTTCATTGAAGTCCAGCTCCTGCCTGATGGAATACCTGTTGATGGAGTCTATGACATTCACTGGCTGGAGCCGTTCAGGCTTGACAGTTTGATGGTATTGAAGCGCTGCATAGGTGACTGGAGGTGTGACCTGAGGGACTCGGTGGCTGTACTCGAGAAGCTGGGGGAGAATCTTACGCTTTATTGGAGGTACCTTTGGCAACCACTACTGCCTGACCGCAGCGTGCGCAAAAAGCTACCTTGCCCGTGGTTTGCATAGTGGCATCGCGCCGGTCTGTTGTCGCAAAGGATCGGACGAAGACAATAGTAGGGTCTTCGAACCCATGCATCTGCTAATCAGGCCAAAATTGTTTAACTAGGGTATTCGCTTCGCACGTTGCAGGGAACTCTAGCGATGACAACGAGCATGTGACCTAAACAGGCTGAGCTGGATAGATGCCTCAAGAAGATGTAGGAAGGAATTCATCCAAGGGCTCCCAGACGTAAATTAGGACTGCAATCGCAAGCGCGCAGCTCCCAAGGATTGTCCGTCTTCCAGGAAGACAGGGAGACAATCTAGGCACGACTAGGTGTGCTGTTTCCATGGAGAGTTCTCGATGCTTGGCAGGTCTTGGAGAGAGGTCGGTCTCCCAGAGCGCTGGCACCGCTTACAATGACTTCTGGCAACCCAGGCTGGCAGAGCTGCCGGGCGTATCGTTGCAACCCCAGACTCAGAAGAAGACATGAAGATGATGAGGATGATGAGGATGATGAGGATGATGAGGATGATGAGGATGGGTGAGATGTTTGGCTCAGAAAAAGACACGTTACGATTTGGGAGTGATTTGGCCAAGGTTTGGGCTGTCATCCAAGGGCGGCAATCACAAGGCAAGCATGTCTGGGTAACCCTTTGTGAGCGGACTTGATTGGAAGGCCCGCGCAAACGCTCATTTGGAACAGTTGCTGCGCCCTTACGCATGAGGAGTTTGCAGCAAGCCGGGAGGCAGGCGTATGAATGGGCCACACTTCAGCCGTCCATGTCCTCAAATGGTGGCTGGGTTTTGTGAGTTCGCAGCCTCGTCAAAATTGTCCTTGGCAAGGCCCTCTGATCGACCTGTTTTTTGTGTAGTGTAGTGCTAAGCCATCGTCCGCTGTGCACGACTCATCATCCAAATTTGTGGAAGTTGTAAACTATGCTCCGGCTGTTGATGGGGGACATCTTGCACCATTGCACCCGGACTCGTGATGGTGCAGGATTTCCTCTATCAACAGTAGCGTTCATCCGCTTGACCGTCTTGCTTGCAGCAGGCAAGACGGAGACTAGTTTGATGTGCTGCCCTTTCACGCAAGCACTCAGATGGCGTAGGGCATGGCGAGCAGGAGTGGAGCAATGTTGTAAATGCAGAACCCTTCGTCATGTCGCGGGGCTGCCTTGCCTGTCCGGAAAGTAGCCCTGAGTCAACAACAAAATTCTCACCCTTCTCATCCTTCTCCAACATGTTGCAGCACATGTCCTTGTCAGAAACGTTGACGGCCCAGGAGGTTCATTTGGTACGTGTTGACGCTGTTGGCGTGATCTTTAGTTTCACTTTGATTCTTGAGGGGACTTTGGCCAACCTGTTTGCTGTCTAGCAGTGCACGGTTCGTATAGCTCAAAGTTCTTTGATAAGCCTTGGCTGCAGGATGTAGGAGGGTCCGCTGCTGCTGATAGTTCAGTTGCTGAGTGCTTTGAAGTTGTTAGCGGCTGGGATGCTTGAGGATTGCGGCGGCATCTCCTTCGTTCGACCGTTTCTGGAATCAAAGGCCCCCCAGCCCCACGCAACTAGACGATCGCCAGTGGGTGATGATGTTCATTTCATTTCTTGGAGGTCACGGCCTAGTGCCAGTGTGACAGTACCACTATCGGCCGGGTCGAAGACGAAAGTGACTAGGGATTCCAGTCAGCTCACATGGCTGTGAGGAAGCTGTTCGCTTCAGCCCTTCGGCCGCGGCCACAAGCATTGGCAGACCGGGCAAGAAAATGCCCTTTGTGCGCATGGAGCTTAGGTCGGCACATGGTTGCTGCAACGCCCTCCAGACGTGAGCAGCCAGCGCCGGCACCTGAGTCGAGATGTCAGATGCAAATGCATCGGACAACCTGAGTGCGCAGTTGCGTGCGTTGTAGCCTTGAAGCTTGATGCAGGCCCGAGTGTCCAACAACTCCAACTGCAAGATGGAAAGGCATTTGGCAATGACAAGATGCTGGTGAAAGTCGATTGTTTCCTTTTGTAGGTTGCCCGGAGGCTTGTTCCAAACACTTGCAGCATTTGAGCTCAAAACGTGTCTACGGCTTGATGTAGGTGCGAAGCCTGATGCGCAAGTGGAATCCTGATATCATGTGCGATGGTGTTTGTGCCACGGACCGTGCGGCATGGTGTGTGGAGAGCCTGCGTGGCTAAGTTGCCTAACATGACATGATGGCTTGGCACGTGTAGTGGCTAGATGACGCAGTTAAATGATCCTTCTTTCCAGTTTTGAGTAAGCTAGGGCCTCAAGACTTCATTGACTTAATTACTTAGATGCAGGCCTACTAGGCGTTTCGGCGGACAGGCTTGAGCAGCAGTCGAATGAGTTCTTGCAGTGCATGGTTGCAGCCAAATGAAGTGCACAAGGACTGTCGGTTGAAGATGCGCAGCAGAGAATCATGGATGAATTCCCGCTGAAGTTGCTTGCTGAAATACGACAATGCGGGAAACAGCAAGGGGTGCATCAAGAAACAGTCAGACACTGCAGTCGTAATAGCTTCTTGCTATGATCATGCTAATTGAAAATAAGTCACACGTAACGGGCATAGTTTTCTCTGGCGAGAATTTTATTTTGCCTGTGAGAGGCATCATCTCAATCATCACTTCGCATCCCCACCCGGTCCCGCAAGACCAATCAGCAACGAAAGTGCAAATGAATGGATGAACTAACAGATGAGTATATTTTTATATGTATGTACGAAGCTTTTGGCCTTCCTTCATGTGTTGTCATTGAAGAACAAGTCCAACGGTGGGGGCAGCTTAGCCCAAGCCAAACAACTTTTTCTGTGATGGAACATCTTGTTAGCCTTAATGGTCTGACAAGCAGCTTGAAGAGACTTGAGTCATGCTTCCGGGCTAATCACTTTCCTTTTCATCACGGCGTTGTCTCTCAGCGGCCATCATGCTGGTTGGCGTGATGGATGCAAAGGCTAAGGTGCTGCATCAGCTCCATTTGCAGTCAGCTTCAAGGTTGTTTCTTGGTCTCATGTCCTTCCATCCTCTTTCGATTCCTGCTTGAGCCAGCAGACGATTTGCACAAGCAGGCCTGAGTCCTTCAGTAGCTGCCGTTTTGGCGCAGCGATTTTTCAGTGCACTCACACGCCTGGGACGCATTCGTGCCGACCCTCCCAACTCAAGTTTTTGAGTAAGGCCGACCGCCAGATCTGAATTCAAAGTTGTTTTGTGCACGTGGCAGAGCCATGCTGATCCCAAAAGAAGAAGCCTTGTTCTGCCACTCGTTGTCTTTGTGACGCCCCTCCTAAGAAAACAAGATTCAAAAGACAGCTTGACAGTCAAGAAAGCATCGTCGTCAGTTAGCGTGCCAGCAGGTCCAGACCAGTTGCACCATCGATTGGCAATCATGCAGAAGATTCTGCTGATCATGGTGCTGCAGCATACTGACAGGCCAGAGCTATGCGATGTCGACAAGGACCTTTTCGATAGGTATAAGCATTGCATCTTGGAGGAATATGTGCATGGCCTCCGGTCCAGTGAAGACAGCTGAACTGAAGCCATGCCCCGCCATGGACGCTCTAGTCGTGCTCAGCTATGGGCATTCGGTACGAAAGAGGGGCATGCAAGCAAATCGCCCAATGTAGAACATCACTAGGCGCTGCTCTTCTAAAGGAATCATGGAGGGAACCGGCAGTCAAGGCAAGATGCTTCACGACTCCCTTTGTACGCCAAGCGTCTGCCACCGGCAGCACCCCCGAAGGGCAAAGGCAACGGCAAGGATGGTGGCAAGAAGGTAAATGGCAAGGCGCCAAGGAAGAGAGCGAAAGGGCACAATAGAATGCCAGATAGAAGCCGATCTGCTTCCGATGTCCGACGAAACCTGGTTGCAAGAAGGTGCCAAGTGCCACTTCGTGCACATCTGCTTCCATTGTTTCAGCAGTCATGCTGGACACGCCTGTAAGAACGTGGCGGCGTGAGATTTGAAAGGCTCAAATGTAACTGGCCACACTTTCCTTGATTTTGCTTGGGAGGTGGTTCTTGCGCTTTGCCATCGCGATGTTGTCGTTTGCTTGGCGCGGAAGAATTGGGCAAGGTCGCCTATGGTCCACGCAAGGGAGGCATGCTGACAAGCATGTGGCAGTGACCAGACTTCCGACAGCACATGCACTACCAGATGCCGGCACGTCATGTCTCTCCCCATTATGCATATTTTTGTGTGGGCTATCCGAAGCCGACAAGATTCATCTGGAAGGGCGTCCGTTCACTGCCGACATTTTGCAAGATGGAGATACCGACGTTCGCCAGTTCCGTGCACGCCTCATAGATCGGGCCCCGCGTCATATGAAGAGATCGATAGGTATTGACAGAAGGTAACGAGCCGTGGCCTCCAAAATTATGCTACTGGATCTCAGGCCAGCGGATGACTGCGTTGGACATGCTCCCCTTTTCGACATTTTGAGAGGGGGAAGGAGCGCGCCAAAGCAACGCAGAATTCCGCATAAACCTCCCAGAGGGCTTGGCGTTGACAGGAGGTTTTGTAGAGCCGAGGTGTGCCCGACAGGTTCGGGATCAAAAAAGGCTTCCACGACGGAGGAGGACTGTTCGCCAGGAGGATGCCCGCCACAGAGGACGTGGCGCATTATGGATGATAATTGGCAGTAGCTGCGGAGGGAGATGTGGGGTTCTTTCGCAAAGAGTGCAGGTTGAGAAGGAATGTTGCAGATGGTTTGCTGGAGCTGTGCCAGCGATCGCTGTTTGAAAGGGGCTCACATGAGGAATAAGGCCTATGCGACATTGCGGGAGGTCAGCCGTTGAGGCTGAGGCTCAGGGCATTTCTCGCGGCGGCAGGCGATCCTGACAAGATTTCCTCGCCAGGCGGAAGTGGGGTTTCCGCTAAAGCCGTGCTGGAGCCACTCCTTAGAAACCCGCGCGTCTTCTAAGAGCAGACCTCGTGGCTGCTAAACAGGGACGCCTGGGAACAGGCGCTGCGCCAGTTGCCAAACTCTTCATCTGTCAGAAAGCATGACAGACAAAATTGCAGTGGCAACAGTTCGGCAGAAATTCAGAAGCAAATCTGCCATTGAGGCAGTGGCAGTCATCGTGGAGGATTAGCCGGCAGGCAACAAGCGGATGATCCATGCATGATGCATTTGATGGTGTCAGGGTGAGCCACAGGATCCGTTTTCGCGACAAAATCATAGCGCCAGCGGCCTGTGGAAAAAAGGTCATCCATCGAGAGCTATGACAGGCCGAGCAAATTGCCGTCCGAAGCTTCAAGTGCCGCGAGGAAGAACAGTTTCTTGGCCTGGACGACAGCGATAATGAAGACGACGCTGTGTATGTGAATAAGGTGGGCGTGTTCGGTGTCCCCTGCTCCAGCGGCCAGGATATCGGCATGCGGAAAGAGAAGTGCACATCATCTCGTGGCCCTAACACAGCCGCGGAATGGCTCCTATACGCCGCCGACCTGGGGTCGGTAGGCAGGGACACGAGCGGCAGGATGAGCATTCCAATAGCTGCCACGATACCGACAGTATCAGAATACCAGTTCAACTGGTTGAAGATTTTTTCCGAGTCGAGTAGCTTGGGAAGGAAATGCAGACAGCAGCTATCGACTGGATCTGTCGCACAAAACGAGGCCTGGGGGCTCCGTCAATGGCAGAAACATGCGCAGCCTCGGGTTGTGCCCAGGCCCACTCTACTTTGGGTCGGCAGCCATCTAGACAAAGCCGGGAGACATGAAATTATCAGCCACGTTTCGGGCATTGCGCACATGGCTGGCCGACAGATTGCAAGGGACAGGGCAGGCTGTTCAAGCATCCCGACAGCTTCTACAAGGAAGTGAAAATTTTGACGGAAGCGCCCGACAAACAACAAGGCTCATACGCTACAGCACGCTACAACCTTGTAGGCGGAATGCCTGTGAAAGGGGTGACCTGCTTGCCGGCTGCGACAGGGATTTCCGCTATTCAGAAGATCCCAAAACCATGAGTTTCTGAGAGTGTTTGCAGTGGAACTGTAAGTTCCAAAGTATAAGGGCTGGTGTACGCATTTGTTGAAGCACGAATTACGACAGTGTATCAACGAAGGAGGCGTGTGCCGTAGGTACACAGGGTCACTTGTAAGGAACGACAGGAGTGTTCTGATTTCATGATACATGTCATGGTATTTTCCCAGGAGTATGAAAGTGTTCATAACAGGACATTTGACACGACATTTAACCTCACGCCTGTGGGGGGCAATTTTGAAGTGCGCACCTTCCCAACCTCGATAGGAAGTCTTGGTTGGTAGCCAGAAGTGTCCGGTAATTTTGAATCCCGATTGGTGTGGGGTCACCAATAGAGCAAAGTGTTTAAACAACATTTTGGACCCCCCATTCGATTTGGGGGGTCTTCATGAAGCAAAGTTTCTTCAGTCGGAAAAATTTGGGGCAGGTTTTGGTGAGGCCAAAATGCTTGCGGGTTTAAAACCAGCATGAACAGGACAGGTTCTATTGCCTTTCGAATTTGGAATTTGATGCCACCAAAACAATTGATTTTTTATTCGAACAGGCCAGGCAATTAAATTCAAAAAAGGGTAGTCCAGCAGAACCCTTGATCTTGATTTGGGGGGGCTCATTGGGTTGATTGTGAGACCTAAACATTTTTGATTTCCTTGGCCTGGGCTTTCGAACAAAAGGCCGGGTTCAAAAACCTTTCGAATCTGGAATCTTGTGCCGCCAAAACAATTTCTTATTAGGCCGCTTATTCGGTCAAGCTAGGCAATCAAATTGCAAAGGGGGTAACCCAGCAACGCCCCTGATCTTCAATAATATGAAAGAGTTGGGGGCTGAATATTATAAGTTTCTTTGGCTGGGTTAGTGGTGAGTACGATTTTAATTGGATTGTAATTGCTTTTGATCGGTTTTCACTGCCGGCCAGGCCTTTTAACATAAAGGCTGAAGGCCCTGTTCTTGAAAGGTACGCTGAGCAAGTCCTTCTG